TTGTTTTATTTATTTTATGTTTATTGTTTTATTTTATTTTATGATAATAAGCTACAAAGCTAAATAAATATTGCATAATAAATGTTACGTAATTGTGATGATTGCAACTCTGTAACTTATACATTCAACAATAACATGATTTATTCTGTCTGTACAGGCCTTTATGTATAATGCATTATAAAAGTAGTTTTATTGCATTAATTATGCCTTGTAATGCACCTTATAATATTCTTATAATTATTATTAATAATAATATAAAATATTATATGTATTTATTATAATAATGTATTTTATTGCCTAATTGTTTGATTTATTCACTTATTTACTTATTTACTTATTTATAATAATGAACTGCAAAGCAGAAATTCAGAAAACAACAATGTAAAACCTTATAATTGCACTTGTACCACATTGCTCACTAGACTTTTGAGGTAAGCTTGAACCTGACCTGATATAATCCCAGCCAGAGCTGAATTGTAAGAAACAGTTTTAAACAGGATACAGCTCAGAGAGACACTACTGTTAACATTTAACATCCACTCCCTATGTACTGTACAGCATAAAGCACCAGTATCCTTGTAGTTTTCTTTGATTACCTGAATTCTCACTACAACGCTGTCACTCCACACCGGACACCAGTCAGACCTCAAGATAAATAGCTGGCACACACACACACACACTCTTTTTGTTTCCGTCTAACTCGTTCTTGGTTTCTTTTTCTCACACTTTCACCTATAATTTTTTCGCTCATACACAAAATGCCAGAAGCAACTTTCCCAACTTAACCAAACGTCATTATAGTAACACAACAACAACCATCCAAAAAAAATAAACCCCCAGCAACTCACTGGGAGTCTTGACAGGTTAAAACACATGCATAATGAAGACGCACGTGAAGCGCATAAACTTGCAGATTACTTCTTATTTCAGCCTCTTGCTGCATTCATAATGGAGATGACGTCACAATGTCAACAGTATCGGTGTTAACAGTATTCAGACTGTTCATTATCTTCAGCGGTGGAAGGCACTGTGTAGTGCATAAAGTGCAACAATATTATCACTACGATGAATTAATTTTTTTATAGTTGTATTTAATGGGTTAAACTATGTGCAGTGTGAGGACCAAACCAAATTTCCAGGTTATCTTATGAGAACCAGGCTGAAAAACTTATGTGCACCCCTGCTTATAAGTCCTAAAGGAAATGTAGTAGACCAGGTATTATGGAAAGCATTTTGAATAATATCTAAATGTTTTTTTTTTTTCCCAGCAAATGAAATTTTTTTAATGCGACCGCTGACCTAGAATTTTGACACTTAAATTCTCAGTAAATTTCCCTCTCTGCCTACCTCTAACTGTCTTTGATTCACTTTTTAACAAACAAATAATTTTGAGAAGTATAAAATATGTTTTTGATGTCAAGGATTTCTTTATTTTAATTCATTAACAGATTTTCAAATAATTATAATGTAGGTTGCACTTAAACTTTATTATTTATCTTATATATAATGAATTGTAAAAGGAGTTTCAAAGGCACAATATGTAATTTTCGCGCGCTAGAGGGCGCGTATTCAAAATAAACAAAGAAGCAAAGGCGTAGTTTGATGACACCATGACTGAGTGTGGAATCATGGGAGTTGTCGTCTTCATCCCCACAGCCGATGCAATCCGACGGGACTCGAGCAGAAATCATGTTCATGGATGAGCTAATGATTTATTAACGTAGTAGAATGAAGCAGGGTGAGG